CCGATTAATTTTGCCGATTAATTTTGCCGATTAACTTTGCCGATTAATTACACCGATTAATTACCGGAGTGCCGGGAGCACCGGACGGGCAGCGCCCCTAGTGAGGGCTATTACCCAATCAGCCGGCACGAGAAGGAGCGGTACCTGCACCCCTGCCCCGCCCCCTGGCCCGACCCCAACGCGTCCCCCGACACACAGGTGAGACCAGGGCGACTCCCTCACACCGTGTCCCCGTCCCCAGGGCCCGAACCGGGTGCTGTCGGAGCGGCGCTCGGAGCAGCGGCGGCTCCTCAGTGCCATCGGCTCGGCCGCGCTGCCCGACAGCGACCTGCTCAAGCTCAACCAGCTCAAGGTGGGACGGGGGGCTCTGGGGTGGGAGGGGGGCCCCGGGTTGCTCCGTGGGCTCCGTGTCCCTCTTGCGGACGGGGACCAGGATCGGTGCCGGGCTCATCCCAGCCCGGCCTCGCCGCCTGTATCCCGGCGCTGCGGGCGGGAGGAGCCGCTCCGGGGCGGGCGCTGGGGCCGAGCCCGGCGGGGCCGCTCGGACCAGGGCTCTGCCGGGGCCCGGCCGGGGCAGAACGGCGGCGCTTTCCTCGTGCGGACGCGGAGCCGGGGCTGGGAGCGGCCGGGGCGCGGGGACACGCCGGGCCGGCCCCGGGACCCCCCCGGGCCCGCAGCGCCGCCCTCGCCCCCCGTGGTATTGGAGCTCCCCCGCTCGGGCACCCCCGAGACCACCGCACCCGCTCCCGGGGAGAACATCGCCCGCCTGCCCCTTCCCGGCGGCCTCGGGGGGTTCCCGCCCGCAGCGCCCCCCGGGAACGAGGGGTCTGGGGCCCGCCGGGGCTCCGGCCGGGGGGAGCCGGGGCCCTGCCGGGGCAGGGAAGAAGGGGGGGAGCCGTTTCCCCGTTCCTCCCACGCTCCAGGACCACCAGCCCAGCCGCCGGTTTGTCCCCGTGTCTGTCCCCAGGAGCTGGCACGGACCGTGCCGCGGGTCGGGCACGGGCTGCTCCCAGCTCTGCCTGCGGAACTTCGGGAATTGCCAACAGCAATTCCTTTCCCTGCCATCCATAAGGTGCAGCTCCTCTGATAGCTGCCAGGTGAGACCTGAGGCTCTCCATCCTCTCCCCGGCTTCCTCGGCAACTCGCACCCTCCCGGGGCAAACCCTCTGGTTTTTCAAAATCCCATTGAAACGTTTCATCTTCATTTGCAGACGGGGAAGGTCCTGCCTGGGAGGGAAACAGCTACAGGAGAGCAAACCAGAAAACGTCCCAACCAGCCGCTGCGGTGCCGTGGCCAGGGATAAAGAAGCCAAGCGAGTCCGGAGGGATCCCTCGCCCCGAGGCAAAGGCGTTGGTCGAGTGTCGCCGCCCGGTCCCGCCTGCGGGGGGGCGTCTCCTCCAGGTGAGCGTTCGGAACCCAAAATGCCGGGGGAGGAGCTCAGGTCGGGGCCGCTTTTCGGGCCCGGAGCTGGACGGAGCCCTCGGCGGCTCCTGCTTCCCGTCAGGAACGTTCTCGGGGCTCCCTGGGCAGTGAAAGCTGGGCAGGGAAGGCGGGCCGGGAGGAGGCTGGAGCGACAGACAGTGACCCAGCCCTGCTCGGGCTTCCTATTGCCAGGGGATGGAGGACCTGTGCCCTGCACCTGCGCCCTGCACTGCCCTGCCGGGGCTCCCGGCGCTCCGGAGCTCAGGCAATCCCGCCCGCAGCCGCAGGACTCCCAACACAGCTCGCGGCAGCAGGGATGGAGCAGCTCCGGGCCGGCGCTTCCATCGGGCACAAGAGGGATTTGTCTCTCGGCCACGGGCACTGCGGTGGGCACGGAGAAAGGGCTGCCCGCGGCTTCTCAGCCGGGGGCTGCTCTGGACGGGCACCCTGAGATGCCTCACCCTGGACACGCCCCAGCGCCAGCCCAGAAGGAGCCAAAGAATCCCGCTGGCACTCGGCAATGTCGGCACGGCGGGGCTGCGGAGCAGCACGGGCACCATTCCCAGGGCCGACCTCCCGGAGCTCCCCCGCGCCCCGGGAGCAGAGCAGCCCCCGCCGGGCCGTTCCTCAGGGCAGCTGCTGTGCTCTCTCTCGTCCTTGGCAGCGCAGGAGCTGGACCAGCTGAAGAGCCTGTTGCGGCTCTGCCCGGGCCGCCGGAGGGGCTGAGGAAGGGCCGACGAATTGGTGGTTCCCAGGACAAGCCGCGGGCTGTAGCTGAGCTCCACCCGCCGCCTGTCCAAGGAGCTGCAGGTAATGGAAAGGCGGCTTGTGACCCTCAACTCTTAAGGGCTTCAGAGCCGGTCGGGTCCTTCTCTGAGCTCATTGCAAAGAAATGCCACTGCTCCCGTTCCTGCCGGGCCCGTGTGGCTGCCTGCCTGAAAGTTCCTTTGTTTTTCTCTGCCTTGCTTTCCCCTCCTGCCCCGCTGCTCGGTGCATTTCTTCAGCTGAGGAACAAAGTGAAGCGGGAGCAGAATGCCGGGCTGCAGCACCAGAGGCAGCGTTGGAAGGAGCGCAGCTCGGAGGCGGCGGTGCTGGAGAAGCGTGTCAGGGAGCTGCCAGAGCGCCTGGGGAGGAGAAAGGCAGCTCTGCCGCAGGAGGAGAATGTACCGGTGAGTGCGGGAGATGTCCCAACAACAGCATCAATTTTGTTGCCTGGACAAGTCTGAAGTAAAAACTTGCTTGTGGGAAAGGGGGGCTGTTCAGATGCTGGACCTGTTGTCTCGATCCACGCGTAGTGGAAGGCTTGTGGCATTAAAGTCCATTTCACGGGGCATCGGTGTTAACCTGCTTACTCTTTACAGACAAGAAACTTTTCTCTGCTGTCGTGGGTTGTATTTTAATAAAGGGGTTTTTTTTGTTGTTGTTGTTTTTTTTTGTTTGTTTGTTTGCTTTTTGTTTTTTTTTTTGCTCTTTCTACCTCAGGTTTGTAATTCTTAAAGGTTTTTCAAAAAAGCTTCTTTAACACTGGGGTGTCATTTGCTGCTTGTTTTCTCCTTTGTGACTTCTGTTTCAAGCTCTGATGGACGGATCCTGCAGCATAAAATTCTTGACGTTTTTGTCTTTTTTTTTTCCCCCAAGGTTTCTTCAGGTGGGAATTGCCCACAGCCAGTGGCTTCTGCTCCAAGAGGAGTAGCAGCAGTAGGTCCTTCTATCCAGTCCTCTGCTACACCACGTATGGCTTCCAGACCTGAACTTGGGGTGAAAGCAGCATTCTCGGGTGGGACGTGAGCCTTGCCGGGCAGCTGAGGGTCTGCTAAAATCACAAACTCTGCCAGCCCTGCGCTGCAATTGCCGGCCCCCCCCGCCCCCAAATCCGTACAAATGAAGATTCCTCCCCGGGAAAAGGTGCCACCACAGAAAGCTCTTGCTGCCCACGGAGTGCCCAGGCTGGCCAACCACAACTGCACCAGAAACCATGAAGGTAAGGGCTTTCTTCCCAGGGCAAAAGGGCTGTTGTTCACTTGCACGAATCCTAGAGCAGAAACAGGCAGTCCAGCTCCAAAACTAGAATATGGACGAAGGTTCCTCCAAGAAAAAAAGTGCTAGGACAGAAAGTTGTTACTGCCAATGGAGTGCCCAGGCTGCCCCACCAACTGCACCCGAAAGCCAAAACTTACAAGCTTTCTTTGCTGGGGATAAGGGCTGTGGTTCGCTTCTATCAACCCTCTGCTGCAACTACCAGCCTGACGGCCAAAGTTGCATAAGGACAAAGACTGATACCAGAGCAAAGCACAGAAAGCTCTTGCTGCCCATGGAGGGCCCAGGCTGCCCCACCAACTGCACCCGAAAGCCAAAGCTGCCAGGCTTTCTGTCCTGGGGCCAAGGGGTGCTGGACCCTTGGATCAGCCCTGCGCTACAATTGCCGGCCCCCCCTCCCCCAAAACCCATAC